GCGCGCACGCATTCCCGCTCCTTATATTTTTATTATATCAAATTGTAACCGATCTAATTGTTCGGGAAATTTCTACGAAGTCGACTTGCGAGGCAACGTGAGATCAATTCTCACTCTCTATCGCCGAACCAGCCAGAACAGTCGAGAGAATCGAAATCATAGAGAGACAGTCGTGTCGATATTCGCGCATTGAACTTAGTAATATTTCAAGTTGTACTTATAATATTAAAGTTTCATTATAATAGTGAATCCAAGTCGGTGTCGAATCATTTCTTAAAAGTGTCATCCTATCAGTTACCAGTTCCCATCGAAGTATCGTCGTCGGTAATTTAAATAAATAACCGGGGTCGCGTATAGGACGTAACCGTTTGAGGCCGTTTGAAAATCATAGAAACTTTGTAATATCACTATTGAACATTTTATTAAGAAATTAAAGATCTTACACTTCATTATTAAAATATTTACAAAATTCATCTCTAATAAGCATGGCATTCCGAGTACTTGTATTTGTGCTACAATTTGAGATGTCCACTAATGCACAACCATCTTCCATAATAGTTCTCCACAAACCTCGTATGTGTTCATTCTCTGCTGTCTCTCTATCTAGCATATCTGGTGAAATGTAGCGGTTCTCGATGTCATTCCTGCGGAGCCAGTTATGGATGCAGATTGTACCTTGCACAATCTTCATAGCAGTTTCTACGCTACTAATGATCGGTTTTCGGTAAACTCGCCACTGACTAGCAAGTATTCCGAAACTATTCTCTATCACTCGCCTGGCTCTGCTGAGTGGATAATTAAAAATGCTCTGTTCGGCGGACAAATTCTTTCCAGAAAATGGCCGCAGTAAATACGACTTCAGTGGGAAGGCTTCATCTCCGACAATGCAGTAAGGCAAAGACGGTCCTCCCTTGTAAAAACTGTCTGATTTTGGGATATTCATTTGTCCTGCATCAAGATGTTGACCGACCCGGCTTTCACGAAAGATGCCTCCATCACTTCGCCTGCCATACGCACCAATATCGACGAATCGAAAAATGTAATTGGCATCACAAATAGCTAATAGTACAATGCTATGACTGTTTTTGTAATTGTAGAAATTGGAGCCAGCATTGTCCGGACACTGAAATTACATAGATTATTACATGTTTTTCACATACTGCAAGGAAATTGGAGTCCGTTCATATATTGTTTTTTCTCTTTATTTCCTGATAGTTTTCGATATTTAAATAATGCCTGAAAAAAATCGTAATAAACGTATATAACTTACTTGAATAGTTACATGCTTTCCGTCAATTGCTCCAATGCAATGTGGAAAGTCCCATATATCTTCAAAATCTTCTGCTATGTTCCGCCAATCATCTTCAAATAGTTGAGATGGAAGGACCAAAGGGCATAGATGTTCCCAAATAATCTTGCATGTTGTAGTAATAATATTGCTTACAGTCGTCAAGCCTACCAAATATTGATACGTCATTGAAGACATAGAGTCACCAGCTGCCAGAAATCTGAAACATAATGATTAATGTGATACAACATTTACATTCATATAACTACAATTTAAATAAAAGATGTTTACCGTAATGTCAACGTTAATCGTTCTGCTGCACTTATCGGCTCTCGCACGACGTATTGTTTTTCTAGATGTGGACCTACAATGGCTAACAACTCTTCGTATTGCATAGTTGACATCCGAAAATAATTATGAAATCGCAAATCTTCCAATTTCAGTGTTGGCAGCAAGGCATGGTAAAACCCATGCTCATAACGTTTTTTAAAAATTGGCGCAACCCAGAAACGCTTTTTCTTGACCCGTTTATTTTTTTTAGCTAATAACAAAGCTAATGATCCGAGTAGCTTGTCACGTCGATCTGCTTCTGCATTCTGTTCATTAATTACATGAGTGCACTGTACTAACCATTCATGCATTTTCATTTTCGCACACATAATTTACTGATTAAACTGATTGTGAGTTATAATCCCGACAGCTCCAACTGAGGACGTTCTTTAGCCTTCAACTATTCTGTATAGTTACATAGCACAGGGTCTCTTGCTCCAATATAATTGAGAATTGAGATATAGAGGTTATATTGCCTCACTTCAACGCGACAAACGCGATAAAACGTCGCGTTAACGCGGCAGACACGGGAGGCGGCATCAGGATTAGAAGCCCCTAGAATCTAGTTCTTTTTGAAGTGCCGCGCTGCCGCGCACGGCACTTGCCGCGTCCATCAGTAGGCACCTTAACTCGTACCGAAAAATGGGACGCAACGCATTTTTTCGTTTGAGCTTCTTATTCGAGTTTTACATCCATATTCAGTGTGTACATGATCCGAGTTCTAGTAACTTTCCCTCAGTCCGAGATCTCGGACCGAGTTCTAGTATCGTGGACACAAGGCTTCAGTCCGAGATCTCGGACCGAGTTCTAGTATCGTGGACACAAGGCTTAAGGTTGTGTGAGGCAGCGGAGCCGGGACCGCTGTGGGAAAGATCGCATCACTGGTTCGGAACATAACCTGAAGAGTGAAGAGTGAAGAGTTGGTTTCGGGTCGTGTTACGAGTAACATTGGCTGCATTCAGCGGATTCAACAGTTGAGATATCTGCTTTCGATGGATCAAACTCCGCTATGAATTTTCCGCTGAATGATCTGATTGTTGATATGAATGGGGGCTTCGCTTTGACAATCATATATAGATGAAAATTAGATTTTTATTGCTAAAACGTTAAAATTAAACATATATAAATGTTACATTTAATAAAATTATGCAATTATAAACTTTATTACATTAAAAGTACTTTTTATTGCAAAATATTGCATTGCACAAGATTTCCTAACCCTCAAGTAGTATGATTAGTGGCTTAACTTATATTAAACATTTCTCTTTTATTATTTCTTACCTGATGTAAGACGCGTATGAAAATCTTCATTTTCAATTACTTTGTATAATTATCCATTATATTCATATATTTTTTCGATAAGCCCTTTTTCACTAGAAGTCGCCATGTTGAATTGTAACACTTTTCGCTCTGGTAGCGTAAAGTAAAATCGCTACAAAATATGGCGTCCGCTCCTTCAACCTGACATGTAACGACTGAGCGAAGTGTCATTCAGCGGAAAATCTAGTAATGTTGCCTAACTGTTGAGTCCGCTGAATGCAGCTATTGTTGCATTATTTTTTGCAGCCTAACGGTTTTGTTGAAATAAAGGTTAAAGGCGCTATATTTCTGTTGGAGTAAATATCAAGACACCAGAAACCAAGAAAGAAAAAAAAGGTAAGCTGAAGTAAATTTTCATTTTGTTTATGTTTTAATTAGAAAGTATTCTATTGTACTTTTATAATCCAAAAAATGCGCGTCAGTATATTTGCGTTTGTCAAATTATAATTGTCTGAGTCTAAGAAGTATAGTTATTTTACGTTTTGTTGTGAGATCTAACTTTTTGGAATGTAAATGTTATTACAAAGTACATGTACTTGTGTTTCAGGAGATTCAAGAAGAATAGAAACATGATGGACAGCATTCGAGGAACAACAACTGATGCAGGCTTTACTTTTAAATCTCTACAGGAGCAGCTGCATGTACTTCAATTACCATCGGATAATTGGATTTATTTAAAGAAAAACGAATCTGTGCATTTTCACCAATTAAAACGCACTAGCCAGTTTAGAAAGAAAGTGATTGTGCATTCGGACCTGAGAATTACTATGAACCTGAGAGTTTTTATGAACGGTTTAACTTTTCCTTTAACACGATATATGTATGTCAAATGCATTGCTAAATTAATACGTCTTCTCAGAGACGTGGACAGACTGAATTTATGAATAACTTGTAAAACGAACAGTGAGCATACAGTGTGACCTGTAATTTGCGTGTTAATTGTAATTAATTTTCAATAATTTTTAATTAGTTTTTAATAATTTTTGTATATTGAATTGAATTTTAAATGTATTGCGGCTATAAGAAATGACACAAGGTTTGACACATGTGTAATCATCGTAGGTAGACTCCAAAAAAGAATGTTAAAATATGCATATAGGTATATGATCATATATAAATATACTGATTATTGTTTGTTTGTCGCTGCAACTTTCGATTAATACATACGATACTTGTGTGGCCTAAGAATCGGTGAAATTATGTAAAAAGATCACACATATTTTAAATAATAAAATTTGCTTATAATTTTGTATTTATTTTTTTATTATATTTTCTTAATGTTACATTTCTTTCTTTCTTTATTTTTGTATTAGCTGCCTTTGCTCCATTCGATTTAATCTTCTCAACTTTTTTTGTTTCCTTATGAGATGTCAGTTTAGCAGCTTTCCTTCTTTTTCGAGTCTGCTGATTCTGTATGTCATTGTTTTTATTTTCTTGCGTGCAGATAAAATGCATCCGATTTGTGAGATAAAAACGAACAACGCTATGGGTTAGAACCCTATTGTGTTTACAACATCCAATTCATGGTAAGGGTGCTAGATTCTCAACAGCCTTCGTAATTTCAAAAATAGTTTCCATGTTTAACTCGTTTACATTGAGAGTATCCAAGATAACCTTTTCAAGAAGTGAAATTAAAGCCAGCAGCTTGACTGAAGGATTCATGAGGTTGCCTTTGGACTTTAGAGTGATGAGCTTATAGCTTTCCGGAACTGAATCTGATGAAGACAATTGCAGAGCTTCTACGCAGTCGTTGCATAGCACACGCTTCTTGTCAATATAAAAAAGCGCAAAACGTGACATTTTTCTTGCCACGTAGCCTGACATGTATGCAACTACGTACTTTGAAGTAGTACATTTAAAATAATCATGCTCTTCAAAAATTGTCGCTGCTTGTGAGAGTACTTGTGCATCTGTTCTTCGATCCAGTATAGTATCTATCTGAGCATCCCACTGCATTCTTCTTTCTGTCGTGTTCGTGATATCTTTAATGTTTAGTAGGACATTCAGTATTTCTCCTCCGAAGATGTTACTTCCTTTTGGAGGCTTCACAAGCGAGTATGTCGATACTAGTCGGTACAATTGCACAAATAACGTGGAATCTGGATGGTCATTCGATCCACAGCAGCTGCGCATCATTCCAAAAAATCGCTGAAATAAGAACACATCTTTCAGTACTAGTAATATTAACTATTGTCTAAAGAGACAAATTATTTACATGTTCAAAATAATAGCGCATTTATACCAACGCACCAGGCGGAGGGATACAAAATGTTCATGTAGAGTTAATTTTGTTCATTAGATGAAATTTCAAGCAAATTTAAAATATTAATGCAAGTTTTAATGACATTTCTATAAGTACATTTTTTCAATGTTCAATAACAAATTAATTAAATTTTAATAAACAAATGTTGAATTTTTTTTATTATTCGATTAAACTGATAAAAAAAGATGCTTTTAGTCTTTCATTACAAATGTATGAAATAATTAGTAAATAATCATTTTTACTATTTCTTGTTATAGTACCTTTAGAGCATCTTGGTTTAGTCTGGCTGTCATAAGGTAATTGAATCCACAGTCTTCCGTGAGATACTGGCAAATTTGAGGAGTACCTTTCAACGATATCTTGAGTCCAAGGCATGTAGAGTCAGACATGAAATGGAACCCTTTTTTAGTAGCTTCCGTTTCCCAAGTACTTATGTACGTCAAAAATTCTTCTACTATCTGTAACCATTGAGATTGAAAAATAGCATGTAGTATATTCAAGTAACGAACAAAGATTGTGCATCTGTTTAAGCTATAATTAATTACTTTCCAAGCTTCATTATCCGGCTTCATAGTACCTTTTGGTATTCGACAATTCATAACTTCAATGAGCTTCTTTATTCTGCGGCAGAACGACTGCGTTGTTACAGAGTCTTTTAGTTCATCGTGTTCCTCTTGAAGCAATTGCATCAAATCTGCTACTCCAAAAAGCTAAAATTATATGACGAATAGCCTAATTAATATATTGTGTATTTAAATATTTTAATTAGATGTGAAGATTGAGTAAAAATCTGAAATGCTAATGCAACATTTATTTTTTGATAATATCGAGGCTCAATGTGGTTGATGGTCAGCTTGTAAGCAGCTTTTAGATTAAAACCTGTAGGATTTTCGCTTTTCAACAAAGTATACCAATGTATAAGTTTTATTAAACCATCAGGTGTCTGTAAACAAAAATATTATTGTACTTACAAGAACATACATTGTTAATTTCAATTAAATAAATAATATTTAAATAACAATTGAATATTAAATATTTTTCGATTCTTACCCATGTTTCCGCACGTTGAAGTATAAAATTCCGTAAACATTTTAGCAGATGCGGAAAATCCGAAATAAACCATAGCCGGCGAGATGGGTTCACAATGTGTTCACAGCTAACGTTTTCTTCGGTTATATTAAATTTCTGCCACATCGAACGATTCCAAGTGGCTCCATTGGTTGTAATTACATCTATATGTAACCCTGCCTGTTCTGCAAGAATGATGCATTCTATATAATAAGATGATGTAGAACTGTTCCAGAGGCACAGCCTTTGCTGAGGAAACAGGCTATAGATTGAACCCATTTTCTTTGAAATGGCTGGAACATCATGACGAGTGCATGATCGCCTTTTTTTCCCTGCTGGTGTAGGGGGGTGTATTTTCCTAAATTAGTGAATCCCTGCATTTCCAATCGTGCACGATTAAATGATATTGCCTCCGATAATTTCATCTCATCGATCAATAAGACTCCTGTTATTAAAATAACTGTATTAAATACGCGTAATAATTAAAAAGTTAAAAAGAAATTCCTGTTGTCTAAATTAAAAAACAATACTATGAGTTTCTCTGCGCTCCATACATGCAATCTTTTTTTTTAATACGTGGAATATATTTTTTTGAAAAACAAAAGAAGTATGTTGGCAGGTATAGGGCGTCACAACAAACCCCCACCACCTACCCCGTCTAGGCCCCCCGCAGTGGGTCTGGCGCCAAAACATTCCCCCACTCCTCTCTGACGAGATGGAAAAAAAAGATGGCGGCTACGGGTAAACAAGATGGCGGATGTTGACAAGATGGCGGAAATTTTTATTTTTTTGAATTGAGAAAATCCAAACGGGGTTCGAACCTGGATCGCT